AAAACAATGAGGCCGCATTCACACAGGCGGAAAAATATAATAAGGGGCATAAATTCATAAAATTCCAAGTAGGGGACTTGGTGTTATTAAAAAATTACGTACTTTCCGACAAGGAAAGAAATTTCGCCGCGAAGCTGTCGTATAAATATGTAGGGCCGTATCAAGTTATGGAGTCTACAAGTGACGTAACTTATATTTTAAAGTCTATGGAGAACGCGACAGATATAAAAAAGGCCCACGTAAAAATAAATTCACGCGACCCCGAAGAGTTTTGCGCAGCCTGGACGTTTAATTAATACGCGCCAGGTTGCTTTCTCTTCAATACCCCACATATGACATGCAGACAAACAGCACTTCAAATTAATATTAAATAGCCCCAACATTGTGCAAATAGTCTGCATGCAGAAATCAATCAATAATTTGAACAAAAATATTTTGGTCGCATTAGATAACAAGTAAACTTAATTTAAAGTGAATTACAAAGCATTTTTTAATTAATTTTTTTTTTTTACGGGGTTCGGAAGAATAGCAATAATCCCAGTCCAATCAATCAAAAATACTCAGACAGACTTATAGCGACATAATTATTTTATTTTCATATAAACTATATGTCTAAATGTATTTTTATATATATTGTGTTGTGTGTGTTAAATGTTGCAAGAATCGTTCATATGTTCTCCACTGTGATTTCTCAACTGAATTAAGACTGATGGCCATTATAAAAAAAAATTAACAATAAAAAAAAATATAATAATATTTTTAAATGGGTATATATAAATATAAATAAATTGTATATATTTTAGGGACTTCACAAGTGACCCTCACATACACACACACACTGGCCCATCAAGTACCCTTCAACCCTAACATAGTTTGATTTACATGCGGAGAAAGTTGGTTTTATTTTGATACCCCATATTATTTTATTTTCATTTATAGTATTCAGGGGGTAATATGTTTGTCAACCTTAAATTTAAGGGGACCAGGGTTTGGCACACCCAAATTTTACATTGTTATGTTAACAATACATGATTTGTTTTCATTTGGTCCCGATGTAAATTGTAAAATTTTTTTTCGCCCGCCAAGGGTTAAAATTTCTCCAGGGTTTATGGCCTGTCCTGCTTTAGGGACCCCCCCCCCCCTAATTATAGCTGCTTTACTTCCTTCCAAACGGCAACTAGCCGACTTTAACCCCTAGCAGCTCCTAATGCATGGGAGGCGGATGTTGGCTTGATGTAAGCCCTATTCCGGCCCACAGTAGGCTTCAAGTTGACACGCCTCCCCTTCCAGCCTGCCGCTGCGAACAGCAACATCCCTTATCCAAAGGGCTTAGCTTTCAAGCTATCGCGATCCCTTATAGTTTTATTTTTTTTTCTCTTCTCTCAATTTGCATCCTGTTGGTTAGGGACCCAACGAACGATGCTGTATGTCAAGTTGTGAATCCTTACCCCCCCCCGTACCCACACACACAAATACTTGAATTATGCAAGGGATCTAATAATAATAATAAAATAAAATAAAAAAAATTTCGCAGGCCAATTACAGTCGCTAGGTTACTTATCGTTACGTCAAATAAAATTTTATGTCTGTCAATATATGTCAAATCTGTGGATGCATGTAGACATATTTTATTTGCGTCCAAAAAATGGACATCAAGCGTACTTGAAAAAAGACGTTACGGATTTTGGAGTTCCCTAGAACGTCGAATTTTTTTTTTAGCGAACAATAGCTACCCTATTGTTCACCCTCGGGGGGAGGGTGATGCCACGAGGCGCTAGGTGTCGCCTATGGACACGTTTAGGTGGGACAAATGCCCCCTTCCATCACAGAAGGTAGGTCAATTAAATTTCGGGCTAATAAGACTCGGCTCCTGATCTCTGCAGCGGACTGATCCTAGCTTCTCTAACTGGTTAAACCGTAAGTGCTTTTTGTCTCCACCGATTAAGCTCCTCCGTTCGCTCAATTATCAATTTTCAATTATTAATTATTAATTGCCACAAGAAAGTTTGAGGCCTGTTTATTTTAGTTTGTATAAATTAAGTTATACATTAAGTTAATAAATTTATTTGTGGTCAAGAAGGTTTTGTTTTACGTTTGCTTTTCATTTTACTTTTCTTTATTTTAATTTCCCCCACGCTTTCATCACAGCGCACTCTGCTGATTTCGCTGTACGTGGGCTTTCGAAACTGCGAGCCATTTCCCGGACTAACCGAAGTCCGACACAGGATAGAGCAAAGCTGACACTACATAAATGTACATAAATTTTTTATATAGATTCGATATATGCTATAAACTATATTTCCTTAAATAATAATTTCGATGTGTATCCGAAATTCTAAATTAATTAAAATTATTAAGTGATAGAAAGCTTGCTAAAATTAATTTAATTAAATTTTAAATTTATAGTAAATACTACATGGTTGATGGAAAAAAATTAAGTTTTCCATTCATTATTTAGTGGTCCGATTGACCAAATAACATCTTTCAATTAATTAATTAAAGATGGCAAAAAGCAGGGAAAATTCGAAAGGTTGGGTTGAGATGGGAAGTAGGTGACAGAGTGGAAAGATTATTTAACGAGGAAACCACAAAACGAGCTTTGTCTTTGTCCAAATAAAATCTATGTTTTATAAGCAACATTCATATAATTTGGCATATTCGGTTATGTGTACAATTCTGAAGTGGAAAAAAAATATGCGAGTCAATAATTTGCGCTGTGGTAAAAGGTGAAGAAATTTCCAAGTCAGTCGGGCTTTATGGGCTTTCCAGTTTACACTTCGGCGCAAAGTAAAATCAATTATGCGCCGTTTAATGAACGTTTGAAAAAGAAGCCGGTGTAAAGTGTAATCGGTTTGTCGCTTATACTGAATGGCCCTGATTTTCTTAGGCGGATTAATCAAGCTTTCCCTTTCGCCAGTCCCAATCAGCCCCTTTCAGTCTAATATTACAAAGTAAATTGAACGGTGGAAAATGAGTATACAGGCGATTTTCACCTCTTCAAAACCATGAAAATCACTTCGGTTTGCTTTTGATATAATGCAAACGTATTAAAATAAACCAGTTTAATTTATGACATTAGCTTTGTGCTAAAAAAATTGGTTATTGAATTAAAGTTTAATCGGAATATAAAACAATCAACCAAAATTTATTCGGCAAATAACAATAGAGTTTTTATCATCCACTTAGCCATCCCGAGATCCAGATCCAGAACAATCAACCAAAACAAAGCATCTCTTTACACTTTTCTATACTTTTGGGAGCAGTTAGAAAAGAATTCATTCTCTTCCCAACCAACACGAATATTCGAAATACCTCTTACCAGGGTTGGCCAAGGATCTGACTATTTCCAATCCATCTCGTCCCGACTATACTAATAATAATAATAATAAAATGATAGACGAAGTATATCTTCACTAACAGCTCTCCGTGGCCAATTCATTTGTCGCTGAGAATCGAATCCTCATCATACGACATTTGTAAAATGGCAAAAAGGAGGGAAAATTTAAAAGTTGGGGGTTGGGATGGGAGGTTAATGTCCGAGTGGATCGAAGTCACGATATCTCAAGTGGTAGAGTAGCGACGTATTTAGCCGAAGGTCGTGGGTTCGAATCCCGCTCGTGACACTAACTTTTTTATCTCAACTAAAAACCTTAATTAATTGTCTGTATTTAAGATTGATTTGCCCTGATGATGACCTTTAAATAGGTCGAAAGCTTGAATTTGCTTTCTTCTTCAAGACCAGACCTTGCTCCAGAGTGTTCGTAAGTGAAAAAGTGGTCGATACTTCTAATTCTGTAAATAAACTAATCCTCACAAAAATTTTCTAAGTTCCATGATAAACTCTCAACTCACCCCAACCCACTAGCCCAATCCATGTCCAACATAATCCATCCCTATAATCCCGTCAGACGATTAAAGCGGAAATGGCCCTCTGAACCTCCTTCGCCAAGGACCTGGTGTAAAGTTGAGGGAACAGCTAACTCCCTACAAGATGTAGTAAATTGTAAATATGAAAGATAAAATCCATAAAATTACAAAATGTATTATTTTATACGGATGTTATTTATTAGAATAAAAGTATGTAAAGTGGTTCGTCCGCGACACCGAACCTGTATGAGAGGAATTGCTTTATTTTATGCCTTTAAATGTTAAGTATACTTTAGTCTAGTAATCATGTTCCTTAGTGTTTTTATGAGTATTCCACGTCAGTCTTTGTTGCTCAATGAACAGTGAAGATTTATTTTTTTCAATGCTTGTGAAATTTTCCTGATCGTTTCCAACTTTGTCCACCACTTTTTGATAGCTCGATGTTATTAGATGTTAAATGTGGCTATGAAAGAGCAAGGAAAACTGTTGAATATTTAAATCAGAATATTTCATAACTAGTAAAGTAATTTTATGGATTGCACTTGAGCACAAGCGGAGTAGTTCGATAAAACAAGTTTGCAAATTAAACAATCTATGTTGTTTCATGCTTGTACTTGCCATTTTCTCAGAGAAAATTAGATTCAGGCAATTACGACTGTGCCGTGAGTTAGTAACTGGAGGCTAACTCGAATTACCCTAAATATGCTTTGCAGTCAACAGTTGTTATTTTTAAGAATTATTCTAAAGATGTGCCACCCTGCCTGGGTTTAATTTTAACAATAATTACAACAAACTCTAACTCTTTAATTTACTGAGAACTTAATCATACCACCGGTTTGATAGTTTTCTTAGCGTAGAGTTGGAAGAAAGTTTCTTTGTTGTAATTAAATAAAAAAAGTTGACGGTAATTCAAGATTTCAAACGGAATAAAGGATATTAATCTGATAATTTTACACGGTTTGTTTATTATTCGACAATAGACAATGGCTTTTATGATATTGTAAAGGAGATGCCGGGAATGTTAATGTCCATCCATTATGCAAACGAGTGAGAGAGCTCTCTTACCCTGTAAAACTCACTTGCTCAGGAATACCAAGAAGAATCAAGCTGATGGAAAAATTTCTTTGTTTCAGAACAACAATTCACGGCGGCCGATTCGAACAGCTCCACACCGACGAAGTCCTTCGTGCCCTGTAAAGTCTGCGGTGATAAAGCATCCGGCTATCATTACGGAGTCACTTCCTGTGAAGGCTGTAAGGTATGTAAATTGAGTGTTTCGGGGGTCGAGGGGGCAGAAATTAGACAAAGTTATCCCAGGTGGCAATTTGACGGCTAATTAGGACCTAGTTTGACCATCCCGGGAGATAAGGAATCAATCTGAATCGACTGATATTAGCAGTATAGTTAAAAAATGACTTCTTTCAATTAAGTTTGTTGTTCACTAAACTAGTCACTATCTAATAATTTACTTAACTTTCAAGATAATTTTAAATGCCAGGCACCATCAAAGTGAAACACTTAATTCATACAGGAAAAAGATTTACGGTAACTTGTAAAAATACATACATAAGTAAGTAGCAGGAAAAATTCGAATTATAGTAAGAACAATTTAGAGAAAAAAAAACACTGCAATGCGATCGACCAGGCTTTGAAATATATATATATATATATATATATATATATATATATACATACATTTATATATATATATTTATATTATAAAACAAATTATATCGATGGATGTACATCATTTCTTTTAATACTATACGACCCGTGCTATATACGCACGACCAATGTTATGAATATGCATATATACACACACACGCACACATACGCGCACGCACACATAATATATATACACTGACAGGCAAAATATTCCATCCACTTGTGATGTAATTCGGTTTGTACATATTTTTATATTCACTTTTTTGCGATGAGAATGAGACGAGGCAATCCAGGTAGTAGCCTGTGAGATGATGGAGTCTTCGGGGGATAATGAAAGGATGATTCGTTCGCGGGATTATAATGATGATAGATGGAAGAAGGAGATGATATTTTAAGGGAAAATGGCGATGATAGGTTTGTGGACCATGCGGTCGGAAAATGGGATGACGCGGAGGTGAAGATCGTATGGCGATTTGAAGGGGAATCCGTGGGAATTCGCGTGGCGAGGAAAACTTTAAGAAGCGGCGATCTTACATGAAGGTGAATTACTATGGCACAACACTTTAGGGAGATAGAGCGATAGAAGGTGTGCTCCGAGAGCTGGCGGAGAAGAGAGCCCGAGAGGGCTGGAAGGGATGGGTTTTTGAGGAAAAAGGAGGGAAGTGTATTACGATTGGTGGATTTCCAGAAGATAGGGATTGTAGATAGAGGGGTACAAAGTACGTCGCAAATCGGGCGCTTCGGTGAAGGAGACGCGCCCGAACATCCCGCCGGCCATGACCGAATGGTCATCATGAGTTAGAATTGACCATAGATTGATAAGTGGTCAGGTGAAAACGTCTTTGTTGGTGGTGAGTTCGGCGACTCAGGAGATGCTACAGCGTTCTGAAGAGGTGGGTGATTCGACCCCATGGCCATCACAGCGGTGGAGCGTTGTCGTTTAGAAACACCAAGGTACCGGGCGATATGGCGATGAGCGATTATAGGCACTTGGAATGCTGCTGCAGAGTAAGACGATATTCAAATTTCCAACGGGCGAATTGGTTGCTGAAAATGCCTGGGGTGTCGGTGTTGGATGTTGCTGATGCGGTCAGGGGGCGGTGTTGGAGACGAGTCCAGGAATTAGGGAGGTTAGATCCGTGGGATCAGGAGATGATATGCTGAACGGGCGAGAGTTGAGGGCGGCTTCAATTTAGTTGCTGAATAGTTCGAATGACACGGCGTAGATGGCGTTTGGCGGATTTAACGGAAGCTTCCCAATGTCCGCTAAAATGAGTGGCGTTGGAGATATGAAACGACAATCTACGCTGGCAGCAAAGGCGGTATTGGAGATGGTGGTGCTGATAGGCGTTCAGGTGGGAGATTGCCACATTGAATGAATTACTGGCGTTGGTGTATAGAATTACCATCCGTTAGGTTTTGCTATTAAACAAAGCTCGTAACTTACGGACATCAGGAATGTAGATGACCGCCTGATGACCGAACGATTTCTTTATGCTTCCGTATGGAGACTGCGGAGATCGGTGTCGACATCTATCTGCTGCGGCGATAAGTTCGGTGGTTAGACTAGCTGAATATACGTGTCGAGTGCAACGATGCGGAGTTCGGCGCTGGCAAGAGGTTCGATGATGCGTTGGGAGAGATGTTTTGGCGGTGATGCAGAATCTAAAGCAGTAGGCGACAATTCGTTGTAGACGCTGGAGAGATGAACAATGGAGTTTTAAGGCGAGAGGGGAGGCGGTAGAAATTGCGACATCCACAGGCGATAAATAAAAGTATGGCTTGGAAGGTGACTGGACCGAGCCATTTAGGTGGATCTAACATAAAGGCGATTGGGACCAGGTTCGTCGACCAGGTGAAGATAATCGGTGTCCGGGTTACCGTTGAGGATAGATGGAAACTTGGATAGCTATTGGCGTAATTCAAATCCGCCGGCCATGAGCAAACTGTCCCAGTGTTGGGCAAAAATTAGTCATTTCTAATGATTAATGATGATCAATCAGACCGTTAGTTATGATTAGTAATTAAACACGAGGCATGACTAATTTAGTCGCAATATAGTTAATCATGACTAAATTTCGATAAATCTTGTACAAATGTGTTGTATCACTGTTTCCTACTCGGACGTTATGCTCTCTTGTTGCGAACCCCGTTAAAAAGTTAAATACATACTAAAAATACAACATAAAAATATCATAAAGATAAAACACATGAAGCGAAACAGTTACGTAACTATTTAAGTTAATAAGCACCCTGATCACCTTTGCTCTTGAACGTTTCAGAATTAGGGATGTTGTGAATTTTTATGGATTCGTGAAATGAATTCTCTATGCAAAAGTTGCAAAATGCTATTTTTTTACCATGGGTGTCCGATCAAAGGGCGCCTCAAGACATCCTTTAGTTCTAGTTCTATTTTCAGATTAGTGGTATCCTACCAAATACAACAGTGCTGGAAAGTCAATGTAGTTATTAAACAATCTCCAAACAAAAGCAACTGCCACTAATTTCATGCTGGATTCTGAAGGGAATAGAGTGAAATGATTAAGCCAACTAACTAAGGAATTACCATAGGAATCACTAGCACCACTGATGTGAACCAAGTACGCAATTGACAATTTCATTATTTTATTGAAATTATCAAAAACATAAGACAGCCATAATCCATACAACTTACTAGTGTAAAATAAAGACTTTTAAACCACTGCGACACTTTTGAATTTTGAAAAAGTGGACAAAAGCGGCTCTACCTTTATTCCAGCGTTGCTTTGAAAAATAAGGAAAATCATTTGAAACGTTGGCAAATTAAAGAATTGAGTACTATGCTGTGTTTTCTGTATGACTGCACAGCCCACTACCCAACATCGTTGAATATAGTCATAAATAAAAGAAGTTTTCGTGTTATTCTTTAATTACTTTAATACTAACAAAAATATCCAAGCATATCCAATTTTCTTTATTTTGATTATTCAGCCCTTCTCTTTACAGTCATTTCTGCTTGAAGAGGCGATAACACTTCAATTGTGTTTGTTAATATTTCCAGTCTTTTTATATCGTTTTGTTTAATTAATCTGTCCTTAATTGGTCGAAAATGTAATTTGTTTTATCTGGACTTTACTGCAATAACTGAATTTTAAACCCTTGAAATACGACCCAAATGAGACACTGATTTGTCAAAAAATCTAGATGTTTCATCTAGCAAAAAAAAAAACATTTTAAACTTCAACGTAGGACAACATTGGGAATTATTTTACGAATTTGTTTAATCACTTTCCACAAGATCAAAAGCCAGGATGATAATATTTTAAACTGGCGAAGAAAGGAGAGCGTTTTTTAATAATTGATTATATATATGCATACATGTGAGTGTGGGAAAAATTCTTTTGGGTAGTGGTCTCTATTCCTGGGAGGAAAAGGAAATTAAAAGTTAACGGGTGTCATTACTCTGAAACATTTAGTATTCACATACGTCCTTTACAACTCTTTCGGGACCCCGCTCTTATTAAATGAGGGTCGAAGGTCTCGAAACAAAGTGCGGTTTTGCATCCAAAATGCTTAAAGTTTAACCCTCATCACCTTTCACCTCGACTTCGTTACCGGAGGCTTCGACAATCCACTCGGAATGTTTGCACGTGCATATTGCATACGCTATCAAAATTTGAATCCGCTCGCCAGTCGTTATACTTTTTTCAAAAATTTATATTATTTTACGTTTTTAACCGTCTGTTTAAAAACCAGACGTAATAACCACTAAAAACACGTCAATTTAATAAAAATACTATCTACTTCATTTATCTCATTAATGTTATTTCTACCAGCTCTTTCTAACTCAAACAGGAAGGTCTGAATAGTAAACCTATCTGCATCACTAAGTATCTGGCAACCTTCCTTCCTACATGCTTTTTTTACGAGGGTTGGCAACAGCAGAGGTTATATCAACGCTCGGGGTGCCGGTGTTTTTGAAAAAAAAAACGCCCATTTGTAAAAGTATGTCCTGTTCGAATGCAGGGTCGCTGGATTCGAACCCGGGACGAGACGAGCACCGTGTCAACGCCTAAACCGTTGCGGCCACCGACGCCCCTAGCATCCTACATGCTTGTACAAACTCTACTTAGTACCTGTAGTATTACCTAAATTACTTCTACTATTCTACAACCTCCCCATCCATCTTAAACATTATTAGCCAACTATATTAATTATCGAATTATCTACCCTACTACCATTGTACCTACATACCTTCCCGACTAGTTATCTAAGCACTACTGCATATCCAAAAGAAAGTAAAGATACTTCAAAATCCCTTTGCAAGTGGCTGGAGGAAAGTCTTTGGAATAGGACAATTATATCCTCCTTGGACAATATTACGGTAATGGAAAATCAACCAAAGGCTGGCGTTATGTCAATGCTAGTGTGGACAGTGTTATAGATGATATCTTCAAGCTACTAACTGACTAGAGCTTCAACTGCCTTTACTATGTAGAAGAACTATCGGTAGCAGTGGTGGGTCCAAAGGGGGTGTAAAAAGGGAATTACCTGATCTGATAAACCTTCCCAAAATGAAATCTGTTTTCTCTTAACTGTTCACTCTTTGGCTTT